TTTCCTTTTTAAAGGTACAACTTTTTGTCTTCACAAAAATATGATTGCTAACCCATTATTTAAACATTAAAACTCCTCTAGCCATGAAATACTTTCAAGAATATTCTCTTTTTAAGAATATTTTTGTTATTATAAAAGTGATGTGCAAAGGGGTTAGTTACAAAAGTCAGGTAAAGAGTACATTTCCTTTTGAAGAATGATACCCATTCCCTGGTTTCAGCTTTACTTTCCCATCCCTACCTCAAGAATATTTTCTATGAATAGCTATGTAACCTACTCATACTTAGCAAGATTGGGGAGTAGTATCTAATTAGATCTTGGTATCTATGCCCTACTTTTTCAGAAGGAAGAATGGCTAAGATACTCAATGTAGTTTGTTCCATTATATCTTCATGTTTCTACTCTGCTTCTATGCATTAGTACTCACTGTGAAGACTAGATACAAAGGTTTTGATCTTCCATCTGATCTAAGAAAACACTATATCTTCAGTAGAGTAGTTTTAATGTAGTGTTACTTTAATTTATGGAAGCATGGTTTAATCTATAATATAAAAGTACAACCGCCCCAGTTTAGCCAGGAATTTCTTGGTTTTATCAGTGAAAATATCCATATCCCAAGGAATCCCTCTCTCTAGGGGAAACCTGGATGGTTGTTCACAGTATATGAAGAGTCCTGAGGTGTTTTTTGTTTGTTTGTTTTGCTTTTTTTTGGTGCAGAGTATTTGTTGAAGTTGACTTTTTTTAAATGTTTTTCAAGAGTTGGAAAGAGAAGGTCAAGAGTAGTCTCTAAATCTACTGGTGTTTTTTTTGTTTGTTTGTTTTTTTATCTTTTGAGAACTTTTTTTTCTCTCTCAGTTATGGGGCTTAAACTCTGGGCCTGGGTGCTGTCCTTGAGCTTCTTTTGCTTAAGTCTAGCGCTCTACCCCTTGAGCCACAGCGCCACTTCCAGCTTTTTCTGAGTAGTTTATTGGAGATAAGACTCTCATGGACTTTCCTGCCTGAGCTGGCTTTGAACTGTGATCCTCAGATCTCAGCCTCCTGGGTAGCTAGGATTACAGATGTGAGCCACTAACACCCAGCAAAAATTTACTTTTTAAAGGAAAAAAAAAATCACCTAGGTGTTGGTGGCTCACACTGTCAATAATTCTACCTTCTCAGGAAGCTGACATCTGAAGAATTGTGGTTCAAAAGCCACCCCAGGCAGAAAAGTCCATGAGACTCTTATCTCCAATTAACTACTAAAAATCCAGAAGTGGAGCTGTGGCTCAAGTGGCAGAGCACTAACCTTGACCAAAAAAGCTAAGGGACAGGCCCCAAGTTCAAGCTCTAAAGCTGTTAGAGAGACAGACAGAGAGACAGACAGAGAGAGATAGAGAAGAGAAAGCTGAGGATGGAGTTGGAATATCTTATCGAATACTGTATAATAAAATCCTCCTTGTAATGAAATAACACATGCCATTTGGAACATACAGGTAACTAAACTAGCTTGTGTAACCTGCAGGTATTTGCAGCTGTGGTTGTGAAGACAGGTATTCCAAGGGCAAGAGAACAGTCTGTTTCTGAGTACTGCATTTAAGCAAGGACATGCTGCCAACTTGAAAGGAAATAAAGGCCACAGTTTGTCTATGGGGGGATCCTGCAGTTATTCCCCTGCACACTTAATTCAAACAGGTAGTGAGATCTGAAACATGGAGATATCCACAAATTAGAGAATACTTGGTTTTGAAAAAGGAAAGAAAAGAAATTCAGGCCACAGAGAAGCATCTCAAAGCAGCAACAACGGTTCTTTTGATGTTAATCACTGTGTGGCTATGAACATGTTTTGAAAGTCTAAGCTGAGAAGGAAATTTCTTGAGATCTTTGTATGAAATATGCATATTATTAAAAATTTAAACCTAAAGATGATTGTTAAGGGTCAATTTCACCTTTTCTAAAAGTGTATTTAAAATGTACAAATCAATGTTATCCAAATACTTGGCTTTTAGAATTGTTAGTTGCATATATTCAGTCTAACTAGTGTATTTGTGATGTCTGAAGGAAATGCAGGATTATTTGAATTTTCTTCCAAAATTATGTCTTTTTAGAGTACTACAATCTTACAATAAAAGGATTTAAATATATGTCCATTGGAAAAAAGACACCTTATGTTTTTCAAGCAATTGAAAAATGTTTGACTCATACAACTGATTATGATCTATTATATGTTCACTTTAGCTGTATTTAGAGATGTATTTACTGATTACATGAAACAGATTTCTATGAAAAATCCTTTTATTTAAGTCCCCAAACTAACTTCTAAACAAGAATCCCCTCTGGCAATTTTAAACAATAACTTGATTCTGTAATGCTAACCCCCCAAAACTTAGGAAAATTGGTCTAAAAGAATGTGTTTTAACTGCCACGTTCTAAGCTAGTTGGGTTTTCTTTTTTCCACTGTAATTGCTATGTTTCACATACCCATTACAGAAGGTGTGAACAAAGGGAGAAAATACTTATGCCCCCAAATTTTATGGGTATTCTGAGTCATGTTTGAGCTTCAAATAATATTTCTTTAATTTTTAAGGGATAAAAGCATTTGCCAATATCTTGAAATCATCAAAATAAAGTGTATCTTCTCTTTTAAGATCCCTCACTTCAAATGTAAAGGACTTTTTAAAAAACCCTTAAACTAGAATGTCAATTCCTCTTAGTTATGTAACTGGAGAATTCTCATATAGACCCATGTATAACCTATGTCATATTTTGGCTCCTAGAGTTTAATCCTGAAAGACTTTGAGATTCAGTGTATTTTGTGAAGTATTAAGGACCATTCCACTAGTGTCCCATCTAGACATATGTCATGACCATGTTGTATTGCTAATCTCTCATACCCCAGTTGTGTAGAAGATGATCGGAAATGCATCAAGGGTATTCAATGTCACACTAATGGTTTCAATTAATTGCATGTCATTACATAAAAGGTGGCCTGCAGCCGATAAATGGATTAGAAAGAAAAAAAAAAGTAACTGAAGTTGAACACAGGCGTGCGCGCGCGCACCCCCCCCCCCCCGCCCACACATACACACACACACACACACACACACCAAGATGCCTTAAAAAATGTGCATCTAGGTTAAAATATGATAACAAGGAAAGTGACCAGAAGCCACACAAGTCCTGAGATGGTCTGTGATTTTAGTCAATTTCCTTAATTGGCTACCAGGTCTTTGGTGCAGTCTCCTTTCCTGGTTAATATTGGAGTTTTTATGAATAAAACAACTGTAACAGAAGGTTTCATACTGACAGTGGAGACAAAGGGACCATGACTATAAATTCAGGCTGACGGGGGACTGACTACGCAGGACAAGCTGAAAAATCCAATCCAGTTCTTTTGTATATGTTTGAGATTGACTGGCTCTGAGATGAAAACTATGATTCTTTGTCCTCACTAACTTACACTGAAAAAAAGATCAGCATCAGAAGCTTTCATACTACATATACATTTACTTCAAAATCTAAATCATGCAAACTATGTATATGGGGTGGGGCAGGGGAGAATTGACTCCAAGCGATGTCTGGTTAAAAAATATATATGGGTGAATCAAATCTTCTGAAAACAGGATTTGTCATGGAAACAGCATGCTAATGGGCCAGTATCTCCGGAACCTTTATGTTTTTTGTTTTTTTTTTTCCAGGTAAGTCTATTTTGCCATTGGTATCAAAAGAAAGAAACAAATACACAAACACATCACTGATTTTCTGTTATGTTACATGATATGTGAAAAATAAATTGTTGTCTAAAAATAAACCCTTATTGTGACCTAAAATGTCTTCCGAAGCACACAAAATCCAGCATAAAAAAAACTTTGTCTCAAATTTATATAATTTTAAGGACACCCACAAGAAGATTGCTTTAACATTTATTCCTTGGATAGAGACCAATAGTCCTAGGTATTTTAACCCCAGAAATTATCTAATTTAACCACTTAGCAAGGAGATATGTTTCAATTTGGCTAGAGAATTAGTGTTTTTGTGTGTGTCTACACAACAAACCTTTCTCAGATATCTACTACATTACATTAATGTAACAAAATAAATAACAAAAATTGCATCTTGTTGCTTACAATTAAATGTTGCACTTTCAACTAGATTTAATGTTTTTATTTGTCTTAAAATGAATAATGAGTTATGACACTATGCCTTTACACCCATGAAAGTAATTGTTGTGTTGATGATTTTGATTTTTAGCTCCTTGTCATGTTACCTAAAATGATTTTTATGGAAAACTTTATTAATATTTCTATCTAAAGGTGTTTTATGTTAGAATCTTCCATTTCTTATAATACTATTTCCATAGTATGCTATTGTGTATTTCTATTCCCAAATTAATGTGTGTATAGTTATATACATATGTATGTATATATATATACACACACACACACACACACACACATATATATATATATATATATATATATATATAAGCACACATACACACACACTCACACACACATATAAACTTTGGGTAGAAGTAAACCAATTAGAAATTTCCTTTAGAGGTTCCTTGAACAAAATAAAAATCGAATCTTCAGAAGCAAATGATAGACATTACAAAATCCATCTGCTGTTAAAATACTATGCACACACAGTAACCACTTACTGATTTTGGAACCACTTATGACTTAGGAAGATCTGAGATTCTGAAAGAGATAACCTCATAAAAACCATGACAAAGGTGATGATTTAAAAATATACTTCCATATTATAAAAGTCATCTAAATTTACCTCTTGCAAAAAAGGCTCAAATATTAAAATTTGTTTTAGCTTTTAATAATCTTCTTTGAATAAAGAAAAATTTGCAAACCTCTAATTTCCTCTCTCATCAAAACATATTCTTTTCTTGGGATGTTGTTCTTTGGAAGGATTGATCTGAAGACTGAAAGAGACTTTTTCATTGAAAACCTAAATTTCTATGCTGCAGGAGTGACTAAGAGACACCAAAAAAATGTATAGACAATTCAGACAGTTCAAGCGCTATTATTTTCAAGCACAAAACAATATAATTTTGTACAAAACTTTGATTTTTTATTTGCGAAATTAAAAATATGGTATTATATATATTTATATATAAACTTCTATTCTTCTATAAATATAGATGACTTTGTGATAGTGAACAGAATAAATGCATACCAAAGTCAAAGACCAATGTCATTTTAGAGTATGACAGACATAGATAAATTTAGGTCCTATGTACCGACCGGTATTTGAATAAACTCTTAAAGTTTAAAACTATACAATCAGAAGGACTGCTTTTCTCCTCTTCTTCACAGAGAACTAAAATAATATTCTGAAATGGCTTTCAAGATTTACATTTGACACATTCCTGTAGATCCCAAAAGGAGCATACAAGATTGAATGATAGACCTGGACACATTTCCCTTTAGCACACATGTCCCTATTTGGTTCTTTCAGGACCTGGGCCCATCAATGATCCCACCTCCTTTCACTCCTTTCCCCCTCCTGAAATTTGACCAGGTTATCATGGGTGGTGAGGACGGGGTCCTCCTTCACAATGTGTTGCTGAGTAATAATCAGAATATGTTCAAAGTGTACAACTTTTACATTTTAAATTTTCTAATTGATATCTAATTGTTATTTGATTACAATAAGAAAACAGCACTTCATTTTGAAGTGAAATCTCCAAGTTTTCATATTCGACTTACGTTCTGCTGTCCTATTAGGAAAGCAAAGTTCAACACTTTCGCAAAGCTTTCCATTTTACAGAAGGGTAAAATCTAAATGCAGCTGCCTCTCTCCCCAAAGGCAGGCTGCCAGACATCCATGTACCAACAGAACTGCCATTTTATACCCCCTTCTTCGCCCTCCCAATCCACACAAAGCTTCATGCTCTTCCCAAATCTCTGTAACCACATCTTTCCATGACGCTGGCCAAACCCATGCAAGTTTGAAACACTAGTGAGTGAAATGAGCTCACTCAACCAAAAAAATACTTCAAAAAGTTTGGCATTGCTTATTTTACTCATCCTCTAACCAACTGAAGTGCAAAGAGGGAGGACGTGGGCATTGGATGCCAGAGTGAAGGGAGGTGGGGCACTGCCAGAGTTCGATGGAAGGTTCCCAAACACGCAGCTTCAGGAAGTCAAAGGGACAAGCCTTGGAACCAGGAACTAAAATGGACCAAGGAGCCACAAGTTCCCATAAAGAAGAGGAGGGAGGGGCTGAAGGGGGTGGGGAGTGACCCCCTCCAGAGCTGAACTCGGTTTAGGAGGTGGGTCCCCAGTAGGTCAGTCTCCCACTGTAGCCGGCAAAGGTGAGCAGGCCACCGGCTTGCCCCATTTGCCTGTGCAGTCCTCAAAAAGAGGCAAGGGAGAAAAGCTTCAAATGGTTACACCGCCCCCAAATAATTAAAACTTGAAAAGGAAACAAACAACAACAACAAAAAACGCGTGACCAGTTGTCCTTAAATACAAATACTTACAAAAATCTTACACAGGCTATTTACAATCATAAAAGCACATAGTCCTGGCACCAGAGTGAGGACGGGAGCTCAGTCCGTGCCCCTCTGGCAGTCGGGGCCCTCGGGTCCTCTGGCTCCTGGGACGGAAAGTTTTGCAGGAGTCGGGCTGTTGGAAGGGACCTGCAAAAAGCGAGAGTCTAGGGAGAAAGGCTCCAGCAGCTGGCCCGGCAGAGATCCCAAGGGGCCGGCTTTTGGGAGGTGGCTGGGACCCGGCAGGCCAAGGGTAGGGATGGAGCTGAGTCCCGGATCTCAGACCGTAGTCTCCCCCTGTTTGCTGTTAGTGAGCCTGGTGTAGAACTTCCTCCAAGAGTTAAGTGTCTTTCCCGACCAGATCCAGAAACCCGACGTGATGCCCACGATCAGCGTCATAAGGTACTTGATCATGAAGACCGTGAAGTCGGGGCTCATAGGGGGGTGTGGCGGGGCACCTCCACCTCCCTGGAGGTGAGGGCACGGGATGGCGTAGCTCTTGCAGCTCTGGGCCACCCAGCTGCGTTCCCACTGGTCCCGGAAGGCCTGCTCGTAAAAGTAGCAGGCGATGACGATGGTGGCCGGCACAGTGTAGAGCACGCTGAAGACGCCGATGCGCACCATGAGCTTCTCCAGCTTCTCGGTCTTGGTGCCATCGTGCTTCATGATGGTGCGGATGCGGAAGAGGGACACGAAGCCCGCCAGCAGGAACGAGGTACCGATGAACAGGTACACGAAGAGGGGCGCCAGCACGAAGCCCCGCAGCGCGTCCACGTTGTTGAGCCCCACAAAGCACACTCCGCTCAGCACGTCCCCGTCCACCTGGCCCAAGGCCAGGATGGTGATTGTCTTGATGGCTGGCACAGCCCAGGCGGCCAGATGAAAATACTGCGAATTGGCCTCGATGGCCTCGTGGCCCCACTTCATGCCGGCCGCCAGGAACCAGGTGAGGGACAGGATCACCCACCAGATGGAGCTGGCCATGCTGAAGAAGTAGAGCATCATGAAGAGGATGGTGCAGCCTTCCTTCTTGGTGCCCTGCGCCACGGTGCGCGCCCCATCCTCGGAGAACTTGTCGTTGCACACCACCCGGTCCTCCAGGAGGAAGCCGGCGATGTAGGCCACGGCCACAGCCGTGTAACAGCCAGACAGGAAGATGATGGGCCGCTCCGGGTAGCTGAAGCGCCGCATGTCCACCAGATAAGTGAGCACGGTGAAGAGCGTGGAGGCGCAGCACAGCACCGACCAGATGCCGATCCAGGTGCGCGAGAAGCGCAGCTCCTCGGGCCCGAAGTACATGAGTCCGTACACCTTGGTGGGCTCGCAGGGTGCGCCGCAGTCCTTCTCCCCCAGAAAGTGGTAGTTGAGGTAGGAGGGCACCTTGAGGGCGCGCGGGCAGGAGAACTTGCCGCGCTCCGCCGAGCCGGCGCCCCCCGGGTAGCCGCCGCGGTGACTTCCGCCGCCGCCGCCGCCGTACTGGGGGTTGCTGGTCCAGAACTCCGGCAGCAGCGAGGGCGTCGGAGTCCCTTTATCCGAGGTGTTCTGACCCACGCACAGCTCTCCCGCGCCGTGCACCGGGAACTTCTCACACTTGAGCGTGTCGGGCCACTGGAAGCCGAACTTGTTCATGAGCGCCTCGCAGCCCTGGCGCGCGCGCTCGCACAGGGAGCGGCAGGGCGGCAGCGCCTGCTCCAGCACGGTGCACACCGGCGCGTACATGGAGCACAGGAAGAACTTGAGCTCGGCCGAACACTGCACCTTCACCAGCGGGTAGAACTGGTGCACCTCCAGACCCGCGTCCTCCTGATTCGTGTGGCCCAGCAGGTTGGGCATGATGGTCTGGTTGTAGGCGATGTCCGTGCACAGCGGGATGGAGATGGGTTGGCAGTAGCCGTGGTCCGGGATGGAGATGCCCCGCTCGCCGTTGTACTGCTGCCCGCTCTGTTGCTGCTGCGGCGGCGGAGGCGGCGGCGGAGGCGGGGGTGGCTGCTGCCCCGGCCCGGGTCCCTGGCCTGCAGCTTGCGCTCGGACCCCCAGCAGCAGCGGAGCCTCCAGGAGCCAGAGCAGCAGCAGCAGCCGGCGCGCCCAGCGCGCGGGATCCGCTGGGCGGCGGCGGTGGCGGCGGCGGCTCTCGGCGTCCCCGTTCCCCTCCTCCGGGGTCGGCCCGGCTGGGAGCGCCCCGGCACAAAGTTCCCAGCGTGCGCCGCCACCGGCGGCCCGGGACTTCTTAGGCGCCTCCTCCTCAGCCATACTTTCTCGGCTCCTTTCTGGGCGCCTCTCGGTTGGGGCTGGTCGTGGCGCGGTCGGCGACCGCACCTCCCGCGTCCGGGGAGACCCGATCCCCGCGGGCACCGGCCGTCGAAGCCCAGCCGTTCTGGACCCGCTCCCCCGGCTTCCCCTCTGCGTCCCGCAGCCGCCGCCGCCGCCGCGGAAACTTGCGGTTCATGTAGCGCCGGCGGCGGGGAGAGCCCGGGTGGCTCCGGCGCGCCGGGGGTCGCGTCCCGCCTTCCCGGCCCTCTCCTCGCAGGCTCCTGCCTGGCGGCGGCGCGCTAGTGGTCGCGACCCGGCAGAGCGCGCAACTCCCCGCAGCCTAGCGGCCTCCGCTCCCCCCGGCTCCTCCGCCTCCTCCTCCGCCGCCACCGCCTGACCATTTGTGTCAATCCCTCAACTCGCTCGCTCTCCTCTCCCCCGCGCGCCCTCCGACCGGTTTCCAGGCGCCCCGCAGTCTGTCTTTCACCAGGAGGGAGGAGCCTTGAAACCGACGCGAAACTGGAGGCTCAGGGACCGTCGCCCAATCGCGCCACGAGCTTCCCGGCGCAAAGGGAGCCCGCTGCCTCTTCGCTGGAGCAAAAGCCGGCCGCCGGCGGGAGGTGCGGGAGGCGGGAGGTGGAGAAGGCGGGAGGAGGAGGAAGTGCTGCTGGTGGTGGCGGAGGCACCACTCGGGCACAAAGAGTGGGTTTGCTGCGAAGCGGGACAGGCTTGTGTTGCGTTTGCTTTTGCAAAAGAAAGGGTTTGGGCAAGTAGGGGAATGGTCCCATATGCTGTCGGAGATAATGAATAGGAGTCGGCGGACCTCGGGGTCCCTCTCCGTCTGGCGCGCCCTCTCTCCCTCCTCTCTCCCTCCCTCCCACCTTCCCTCTCTCCCTCCCACCTTTCCTCCCTCCTTCCCTCCCTCCCTCCTTCCCTCCCTCCCTCCCTCCCTTCCTTCCTTCCTTCCTTCCTTCCTTCCTTCCTTCCTTCCTTCCTTCCTTCCTTCCTTCCTTCCTTCCTCCCTTCCTTCCTCCCTTCCTCCCTTCCTTCCATTTTTATGTTTAAAAATACTGCTTTTAACGCTAGTTACAAACAGCCAAACCCAGCTCTGAAGGAAGGCTCAGTCTTCCCTGAGTTTGAGCCTCCCGAGGTTTAGGGTTAAATATTACTCCAGTAAATCTTAGAGTCACAGTCAGTGCTTGGCGGGCCTTGGACGCGCCCGGTCCCCAGACGGGAAGTTCACGGGACTGCTTGTCAAGACGAAGAAAAACAACAAGAAAACACAAACACAAACTCTGATGGACTTTAAGAAGTAAAACCAGATGCGCCTTCTGCTACTATCATTCTTGTGTCAAACTCTTTTTCTCTCCTCTTTAATCAAGTCGGGAACAGAAGCAAAAGAAAAACGATCCAATACACTTTTGGAGAGGACAAACTTGGACACAATGTCCAAGACGCTGGAGCAGGGAGGGGGGGTTAGAAATGGGGGTCTCCTATTTGAGATCCCACGGTGACTTGATCCCGGGCCGCACTACCTGGCCCTTGGGGAGCTATTAGGAGAGCTCCTGGACTCTGTTAGGAACTCCTGGGATCCTGTAGCTGAGCTGCAGCAGTACCTTCCACGATATTCAAGAGCTGAGATTACAAAACACACACACACACACACACACACACACACACACACAGAAAAGCACAAAACACGGAGTCTGAGAGCGAAAAGCAAACCACACATTCCCTACTGAATTCCAAAAGCAATACTATCCATCTCGGCAGATGCACATTCTTCTTGTTTTCATGTAAGATTATTTTCAATAATGGTTTAACTACGACTTGGTTTTATTAATGAAGCACTATTGTAATTAGGATTCTACTCAGGATTTTTTGGGGGGAGGGGACTTTTGATTAGATTGTATTAAGAGATTTTTCTTCAACTATTTTCCATCCTTTCTGTGTCTGTTCTTATGTTTAGTAGACACTTAAGGAGCACCCATTCTGCTGTGTGTCCTGTCTTTAGTGGGAGGTGTGTCTTCGAAGGAGGTGTGGTCTTAGAGGAGGGTAGAATACAGTGGACAAGAAATATAAACCTGTAATCTGAAAGGGCACCGGGAAAGCAGCTAGCTCAGTTATGTGTTGAGCTGGGGGTGGGAGGTAGATAGTGGGGGAGGGAGGATAAAAGAGGTAGGCACAAAGTGCAAAAGAATTGCTGAGGGGCACGGTGGAGGAGACAGAATGACAGTTAAGAGAACTCAGTCCACACTGAGAAGTAGAAGCCAAATTCTGCAGGCAGTAGGGAGCTGTTGAAGGTCAACTTTCCTCCCTACAGAATAACTGTGTGTGGCTCCAGAATGGCTGTGAAGGGCACAGGATGTGTGTGGGGTTGGAGGCTGTCTCGAGAAGCTGTCAGGGTTCATTACTTAAAATGAGGAGCACACAGACTCTGAGACCCTGAATTTGTCATCGGGTGCATTTGCATTTCTCAGCAGTGTGCACTCATCTACTGTTGAAGCAAATGACTTTGTCTCAGATACATACATATATTATTATTTTCAAATATTTCCAGAGGCAGTAAATTCATGCATATATATGCATATATAATTTAATATTTCTCTCCCCCCAAACAATGTCCAGCCTGGCATCAATTCACAATTCTACAGCATTTCTGTGTCAGCGTCCCAAATAGCTACAATTTCAGGAGCAGATCACCACATCTGGTTTGTTTGGAAGTACTTCTGTTTCTTAGTTCCTTTTGAAAAAAGCAACAGGTACTGAATATATAATGAGTCTGTAGGTATTACATGTGAACTTGTGTATTGGGGGGGTGCAGTGGGCAGTAACTTACAACACATTTTGATACTGAAGAAGAGTAGAAGCACTGGTGCTCAGTGAGGGCTTCTAAGCACTCACATTCAGTAACTGCTTGACTCAACCACATCCTGGCCTGGGGACTCTTGTCTTTAGCCTTTCATTCTTAAACTCATACTCTTCTCCAGTGCTTAGGACATTATCAAGCCACCTGTTTTCCATCCCTCTTATAAAGACTTACCTCTCCCATGTTTTACTTTCTTGGGGTCATTCTAGGTGACCTGGCTGGATAAACATCTAATTTTACTCTAAGGCACTAATTGCCAAGAAATACCATATGAGCTTGAGTAAAGCATCCACCATCTCCATGTCTCTAAATCTTTCTTCTTCTTCCTGTGAATATGGCAGAATCCAATGCTCTGTTTCTCAGAGTAGGCAAACACTCTCTTGCTGTTGTTGTTCTGTGTTGTATGCATTTTTTAAACTTGTTTTCTTTTCTAAAGTTTAGTATAGAGGAGTCTCAGAAGTCCCGCCAAAGGTTTTTAAAAATATGTAGGAGGTAATAGGTAATAGAAATGTTGTTTTGGTCAGATGATGGAACTGGAACCGAACCAAGGACATAATGTAGGAACTCATTTTTCCAGGTTACAATGAAGAGCACTAGATCCTGAGTGTTAAGGATTGTAACTCAAATGGTACATCCTTATTTGACTTAATTTCATTAGATGCTTATTTTAGCCATCTCTACATTTGTTCAAATAACTACAGTTCTTTTCTATTGTTCTTTTAAAGTTAATTTTCAATAGAACTGCAATCTCAACAGATTGCACAAAAGAATCCTGTAAAAGTCAAACAGACATAGGGGCTGGGAAGTTGGCTCAGTGGTAGAGTGCTTGCCTTGCATGCATGAGGCCTTGAGTTCTTCAGTACCACATAAGCAGAAAAAAGCCCAGAAGTGGTGCTGTGGCTCAAGTGGTAGAGTGCTAGCCTTGAGCTGAATAGCTGAAGGACAGCACCCAGGCCCAGAGTTCAAGCTCCATGACTGACAAAACAAAAAACAAAAACCTAAAACAGACATAATTTTCTGAATTCCTTAAATGTTAAAAAAAAGTAAACTCAATTTCCTGTTTATGGTACACCAGTAGAACATTTTATGTATGAAGCTTGTGCAACACAGAAGAGACTATTAAATCAGAAACAGTTCAGTCACAACCAACAACAGCCAGTGTTATTGAAGAGGTCTTTTGGGGAGGTAGGTGATGAAGGTTTTGGTTACTAAAAAATTAAAAGTGAAATATGAGTGGCAAAACTTAACCTCAGTTCAAAACATACTATTTTCTCAGGACAGGGAAAGCTTGAAATCCACATATAAATTTTTTTAAACTAGGTATGAACTTGTTAATGAAAACTACTCAATTAGTTCACGCACATGCTATAGCAATATTTCGCTTGACATTAATGCTCTGTGGAATACAGTTTTGAGAGATGCTAGGTTAGACCTAATATATTTTGAAATTGTTAGGTTATAAGATTGAGTTATGATATATACCATATGTTATATGATTAGGTTCTCACTTCTGTATCCCTTTGGTTTATCTGTGGGGGAACAGACAGTGTAAACATATCCTATTGTGCTTTGAGATCCTGCCTTTCCTCCTTGAATTCCCAGGGAAAGGATGCTGATGGGTCAAAAGATTTTGTGATAGAGAAAGATCAGCCTCTACTAAACTGGGCAACATCACCTAGGAATCTACTATATTGTTGTTCTAAAAACATATTGTGTCTACCTAAACTTTTAGTCTATATTTTTGCTCCATTTGTTCTTGAATTCTCACTCAAGAGATGTCTGAATAAGCTCATTATTTCTCTTCTTTCATTCTTTCTAACTGTAGTTTTTCTCTTAAGAGGCAGAGTTTCACTACTGTTGTACAGTCAGGTTTGGAACTCAGGAGCCTTCTGCTTCAGCCCTCTGACTGCCAGGCCTGCAAGAAAGTGCTACTCAAGTAAGCTGCATAAGCTAATTCTTATATACCCAAACATTTGTGGTTTTTAATTCCAAAAATAAATGACTTTTTTCTGCATTTTAAGTTCTTACTTCACAGAGTAAGATAAGATATATAAGACAGATAAGATAGTTTGTACATTTGTTCATGCCCAGAGACTATTTATAATTCTCTTTGAAAGGTGCATTCTTTTAATGTATATGTGTGTATATGTGTGCAACATCCTATCCAAAGAGAGATAGTTGAATACTGAATTTTCTCTCTCATGCGTGAATG